AAGGTAAGAAAAGGAATGACAGGCACACACATACAGCTGATGTGTACTCTAGATGTAGAGAGAACAGATGTTCAATATTTCAGAAAAAGGACAGACATGATTCTATGGTCTATAAGAGAGTCTATAAGAGAAGTTAACTCAAAAGGTATAGAAGAACCTTTGTGAATTAAATTAAGAAAAGGAAAAGAAATTATTCCAGTGAAAAAAAAAGAGAAAGAGAACGGTCTAAAACCACCAACGCTGATACACAGGGATTAAACTGATCAGTTTAGATTTTTTTAAACACTTGTACAGAAGACAAAACCAAAGGAATGTAACTGAGGACAAATGAAAAAAAAAAAGGTACAGTTTTCTACTTTTTTTTCTGGAACATGATTAATGTGGAAATTTGTTTTGCATTATTTCATATTTGTAATGGGTTTTGTATTTCTTGCCTTTTTAATGGGCAGAGGGAGAGAATTTGGAACTGAAAATAAAATGAAAATAAAACAAAACAAGACAGTCCTTTCCCTCAAGAAGCATACAACTTAATGGGGGATGAGAAGGAGCAAAGAAATATGTAAAATCAAGCTATATACAGGATAAATAGGAAAAAATTAAGAGGGAGGGCACTAGAATTAAGAGGGGGTAGGGAAAGGTTTCCTAAAGAAGATGAGATTTTAGTTAGGTCTTGAAAGAAGCCAAGGAACCCAGTAGACAGAGAACAGAAGGGAGTTTGAGGAAGAGCAAGGCCAGTGCCATTGGACTGAAGAGTACATGAGTGGTAGGGTAGTGAGGAGTAAGGTGTAAGAAGACTGGAAAGGCTAGATGTGGCAGAAGGCCCTACCTAGACTATGAAAGACTCTGAAAGCCAAAGAGAGGATTTTGTACTTGATCCTGGAGGCAATAAGGAGACACTGGAGTTTATTGAATAGGGGGGTGAATAGGTTAGACCTGTGTTTTAGGAAAATCACTTTGGCAGCTAAATGGAACACAGACTGGAGTAAGGAGAGATTTGAGTCAGGCAGACTCAATAGGCCTGCACCAAGGTGGTGGAAGTATTAGAGGAGAGAAGGGAGAGAAATGGAGGGATGTAGTAGAGGTAAAATTGACAGGTTTGGCAATAAACTGGATGCAGAAGGGGAAACAGAGTGAGAAGGCATGGATGACACAGGTTGGGGGAGACGTGTGTTCCCATGGGGGAAAGATAGTGAATTCAGACAATACCATCAACTTTTAGCACCTCCATTTCCTTATCACCTCTTCTTTGACTTGGATGTTTCTCCTTGGAAGCTCCACAGTATCTCCCACGGAGTCCATCATGGCTTTGTATTTGTATCCCCAGGTGCCTAGCATAGTTCTACTCCTGCGTTTCTTCTACTTGTTAGGTATCTCCATCAGGATATCTGATCAACAACTCAAACTCAATATGGCGAAAGCTGAACTTGAGATCTTCCCCTCCACAAAGCTGGCCTACATCCAAACTTCTTAGTTTCTGTTGATGTCATCCCTATCCTTCTAGTCACCTTGTCTTAAAATCTCATCATCGTCTTTGACTCTTACCCCTTCATTCAATCTTGACATTCAATCATTCAGTAAATGCGGTCAATTCTATCTCCATAACATCTTTCACCAGTCCACTCCCCCCCCTTTCTAGTCCCTTTGCCACTAATTTATTTCAGGTTCCCATTATCTCTCCTATTCTAATACACTTCTAAGTGGTCTTCCTAATACCAGTCTCTTCTCTTCCTAATCCATCCTAAATACAGATGCCAAATTATGTATGATTCTGGCCATGTCACTCCCTTACTCAAAAAAAAAAAAATCTTTAATAGTTCCTTCAAATATCTTATCCTGGCACTCAAGGCCAGAATCTAGTCCTGACTTACTTTTCCAGTTTTATTTCTTCACTGTACTTCCCACTTCATGTTCTGGTCAAACTACACCACTGGCTGTTCCTTCACACACACACATCTCCCTTCACATCTCTACTTGTTGAAATTCTCTTTCCTCAAAGGTTTAGCTCAGGTACCACCCCCTTTATAAAGGTTATATAACCTATCCTGATTTTTCTCCATCTGAAATAAGATCTCTCCTCAAATTTTTCTTTTGAGTAGGTTATTTTAAAAAAATATATTTTATTATCTTTTATTTTTTACACTACCTAAATTTTCCCCAATTTTAATTTCCTGTCCCCTTACAGAGAGCGATCCCATATTAAAAAATGTTTTTTTAAAGAAAAAGAGGAAGAGAGAAAAAAATCAGCAAACAGAAAAAAATCAATACATTGGAAAAAGTCTAAAGTTATATGCAATGTTGATAGCACATTCTACCAAGGAGTGTGGGAAGCATCTTCTCATTCAGATAGTCTTAACAGCAATCTCAGTGGAATTATTCTTTGTCCCTATTACAATTTACCTTCATTTATACTTATTTCTGTACATTCTGCATCCCACCTATATCATGTTTATTTCTTTATTCTCAGCACCTAGCAGAGGGCATTGTGCATAAAAGAAGCTTGAAAAATGTTTGCTGAATTGAACACAGTTAACATTTTTTAATTTTAAAGAGGGAGACAGAGGCAGGAGAAAAGCTAGCTAAATATGGAGCAGAAGTTCTTAACCTGCGAGCCATAAACTTTTCTAAAAAATATTTTGACAACTGTATTTTAATATAATTGGTGTCCTTTGTAAGACTATAGATTTTATTTTATTCATTTAAAGATATTACTCTGAGAAGGGGTGCAGGGGTTTCACCAGACTGTCACAAGGGTCCACAATACAAAAAAAGGTTAATAATCCCCATTATAAATAAGGCTGTAGACAGTTTCATATCTAGTCACTAGGGTTGACCGTAATTTCTCATAGTAAAAAATTAACATCTATTAAATTGTGTTTGTGAAGGTTAACATTTCCAAAAATACACACACAGCACAGAAAATTATAAACTGTTATCTGCTGTCTAAACACTCATCATGAAACTAATTAAAATATTAATTACAGCAATGTTTTGAACAAACCGTTTTTGTTTGTACTATATACTCTAAAAAACAGATTGCTGAAATATAAATTGTATTAGTTTCTTATTTCCCATATGGCACAATATGGAATCAATAATTTCATTGTCCTGTGTCTCTGTATCCCTGCTTAGCGCCCAGCGACAGTAAACAGTTAACTTGCTCAAACCTGGCATGATCAGCTGATTGAACCAAGCTTTCCACAGTGACCCCTTCCTGTTTTTTGTTGAAAATTGTACAGTTAAACTGCAACAAGCTCTGTGAGATCCAGCATCAAGCAAACCTCAAAACAAGTCAACTTCTCCTTTCAAGGAGCAGAAAACAAATTTAAAAACAAAACAAACCAAAACCAAAAACCTTTGTTTTACATATCTTTTCAGTCCTCAAGGGAATCCTTTAAACAAATCATCAAATTTGCTCCAAATTTATGACTATTTTGTTGCCAAGTTACAAATTAACATTTTTTAGGCCTATTACTGAAAGGCAATAAATACTCAATGGCTTTGGTGGGATTACACAGCAGGGTTTTAAAATAATGAAACTTTTCTTCCCCCCTAAATAAGCTGACGCATGCAGATGAGCGATGTCCTTCAAAGCAGGCATCTCAGGAGGCTATCCACTTATTTCAACAATGATGCCCTAACTCAAAACATGTTTGGAAGTGCCTTCTAAGACTGTTTATAAAGCAAACAAGAAAGTGCACGTTATCATTATGCCTAATGGGAGAGTAAAAGTAGCACAATCCAAATAACCCAAATTATTTACCAGTTACTTGGAAAGCTGCTTCCAAAAATCAAACCTGTCCCCAAAGATGAAGTTGGTTTTTTTTTTTTTAACCACCAAAGACATTGAAAAGACTGTAACACAGGCTCTAAAAGCAATTCCAAAAGAGGAAACAAGTAAAGTTTTGAGCAATGGCAACATCACTGTCTATAGTCTGTAGTCTTCAAGATGACTACTTTGATGCCGACAATACTCATTTGGACACATAAGTATAGATATATTTTTTTTTAAAAAGTCATAAAATGTTGTACCTTATACATTTTATACCACAGAAGCAATGCTATAACTGAGTTTCTAAAAACTTGTCCAAAGACTGATGATAGCTAGACTCTTCTAGACAAAGCTATGTAGGCTGTGAAAATCTGTATTTGAAATAGTCATGAGCTCTCTATACTACTTAAATTTAATAGTTAATTACTCCACATTCTATCTCCCTCTGTGCATACCGTGCACCTCCAAGATGAAATAATTTTTTAGTGCTGAATGGTTGCTTTACCTGGGAAAGATTATTAATTTATCATAAAGAGCCCATTTAAATTGTGTATCTCAAATATGCAGTATATAGGAAATCCTCACTAGGAAATGGCATAGATTAACACTTACACTGGTTGTGTAGAAAAAGAAAAAAAGAGAAACTCTAAGGATCATTGTTGTTGCTCAGTCACACCCGATTCTTTGTGACCCCATTTGGAGTTTTCTTGGCAAAGATACTGCAGTGGTTTTTCATTTCCTTCTCCAGCTCATTTGATAGATAAGAAACTGAGGCAAATATGGTGAAGTGACTTGCCCAGGGTCATACAGCTAATAAGTGTCTGAGTCTGGATCTGAACTCAAGTCTTCCTGACTCCAAACCGCCTAGCTGCCCTAAGGATTAGCCAGTGCTGTACACAAACAAAGGTGCTTAAATTAACTGTTTCTGTTATTTCCAGAAAGTGCTAGTCTCTCTCTTTTTTTAAGGAAATTGGGGTTAAGTGACTTGCCCAGGGTCACACAGCTAGTAAGTGTCAAATGTTTGGTCTGAGGCTGCATTTGAACTCAGGTCCTCCTGACTTCAGGGCTGGTGCTCTATCCACTGCGCCACCTCGCTGCCCTGAGTCTCTTTTTTTTAAATAAGAATTACAAATGTGTCATAACTCTGAAAGCCCAAAAGGCATGAAAGTTTGCAATCTAAATTATAAGACATACAGAAAAATCACAAGATTAAAAGGAAAAAAAAATGTACCTCTAATACAGGGCCAGCACCCAGAATCGTCCTTTCCACTCCACTCGCGTACCCTTTCTGACTTAAGGCAGTCAGACAGTGAATTAAAAAGTTTGTACTTTGTGTCTTCCCAGACCCACTTTCACCTGAAATAACTATGCATTGGTTGATATGTTTCTTGAGCATAGTATAGTAGGCCACATCTGCAATAGCAAAGATATGAGGCTCCAGCTTCCCAAGCTGCTGATTCTCATACATTTTGACATACTTAGGGTTGTAAATGGGTAGGAATTTGAAGGGGTTAACTGCAACAAGGATACTTCCTGCATAAGTATATATTTTCTGTTGTAAAAAACGATGCTTCAAATTCTTCAAAAGATTTGCCTCTGTTAAATTAGGAAGATTACAAAGATCATCAAAGTCTTCCTGTTGCCAAGGAAGAAAGCCCCTTTCAACCAAACTTCGAGCTTCCTTTGCTTTAGAGATCAGCTGCATGTGAACATATTTTATGGTCCCATCTGTGTTTCTCTCTTGCAAAAGAAAATAATAGCCATCCTTTTGAGGATGCTCATCTTGTGCCCTCCGAGGCCAGAGTAATACTCGGTGCACAGGTGAATCGTTTGCATCTAGTACCCATTCTTCACCTCCCGTTTCTTTTACTTCCACAAGAACGTAACACTTGGTGACATCTAAGTTCAAGTTTGCTATTACGTCCTTGATGACATCTGAAGTGGTGGTATCTTTAGTGGCCGTTACTCTGCAGAACGCCTCACTTTCTGTAGTCAGCCGAGGGTAAATATGAAGATGATAAGCTGCCTTCTCCTGGCAAACAGCACTGCCAGCATCTTTTAAACTCATCCTGCCCAAAGTCAGACTTCGGCATGCCTCCCTGGCTCGGTGTGCAGTGTTGTGTACCTAAAAAGATTTCAAAAGTTACAACTTAAAAAGAGCAGGACGTATACATAGCACAGCAAGTTTAGACTTATTAACCCCCCAAATTGCTAAAATTAACAACCTGAGTTCACTACAAACTATTTTAAAAAACAAAGCACTGGGCATAAGACCAAAGACAAGAAATCTCTCAAGGAACAGTCCCGGTTTCTACAAGGCTAAATTCACCACAGCATCCTCAATTAATGACATAGCACATTCAGCATGCAGACTTAAATCTGAACCATCATTCATAAAGAGACAAATGGGGAAGCAAACTATGCCTCAAGTCCTGAGTCTAGGATGCAAATCCTGGTCCTGCCTCTCCATGCTTTAGTTTCCTCACCTGTGAAGTGGAGAGAATGTTCTCCTTACACAAATCAAAACTGCTTTCACTTTACAAGTTTTCCTTTCCCACTTCATCCTGTGGCACTCACTGAGACCTGACTCCTTCCTCATGACACAGCTTCTCTAGTCACCCTTTGCAGAACCACCTCCCACCCCACCAAGCCCACTGGGCTGGAACATTTATTGCTCCCCACTGCCATTTCTAGGTTCCTCTTCTTGCACCATCACTCACCATCTGCATTCAATCCATATTTACCACCCCACCCCAATTCTGGTGGACAGTATCTACCAACTCCCCACCCCCACCTCCCCTCCCCCCTTCCCAATCTGTGTCCTGACGCCAGAGAACGGCAGCACGCTCCACTAAGCACTCTCACTTCCTGGCTCAACGCTCGTTTCCTGGGACATATTCCTCGCTTCAGGCACGGTCAAACTCTTCACCATTCTCAGCTACCTTCACGTTTCTCAACTCTGAAATTCTCTGATGCTTAGTGATTCCACCATTCTCTCTACCTTAAGACTCCAGCCCTGCTTTTTGACCTCAAAGGGCCCTAAAATCTCTCCACTTTCCAGTTTCCCCAGGGATCCACCCCATGCACTGGCTACGTTCTTCTCCCTGCCCCATCCTGACCCCTTGATAAGCCAGTTCAACTCCACACTAGTCTCTTTTCCCCTTATCATATTGGTGACTTTGCCCTGCAAAGCCTCAGCCTTGGATAACTTGGATAACTCCTCCTGTCTGCTTCCTTTTGCTCCTGGTTCCCATACTGAACGAAGCTAGGGTAAATCAAGAAACCATGCTAAATTCACCACAAATTTATTAAGTTATCTCAACTGGGTCCTCACTGCGGCAAGGCAATCTTTTTACATCTCCTTATCCCACTCACCACAATGACCTTTCCAAACCTTTGATTACCCTTACCCTTTTGGGTGAGAACCTTGCCCATACTTCACTGAAAAAACTGAAGCCATTCACCAATAGCTCCTTCTCTTCTTGCCCATCACTCAGATGTCTTCCATTACTATCTCCTCTTACATTCTGGTCTCTTCTACATGGCTACTAAAGTATTCCCAACGTGTAAGTCTGAGCATGCAACTCTCCCCACTATTCAATAAACTCTGGTGGCTTTCTATAAGCTCTAGGATCAAACAAAAGTTCTCTATTTGGCTTTTAAAACTGCATAACTTAGCTCCTTCTTATCATTCCCATAGCCTTCCACTTTCCCCTCCGCATACTCAAGGGTCCAATGACACTCCTTGTGCTCCTTGCACAAGACACTCCATCTCCAGGCATTTTCATCCATGTCTGGAACACTCCCTCCTCATCTCTACCTCCTTGCCTCCTTCTGCTCTCAACTAAATCCCACCTTCTGCAAAAAGCATTTTCTAGTCCTCCTTAGTCTTAGTGTTTTCCCCTGAGATTATCTCCAATTTATCCTACATATACCTTGTTTAAACATAGTTGTTTGCATATAGTCTCTCCAATTAGACTATGAGCTCCTTGAGAGGAAGGACTATTTTTTGCTTTGAATTGTATCTCTACCACTTAGCACAGTGCCTGGCACATGGTAAGCACAGAGAGAACTAGGCAGGGCACTGGATAGAGCACTGGACCTGGAGTCAGTTAGACCTGAGTTCAAATACAGCTTCAGATATTTAGCAACTGTGGCCTGGGCAAAAAACTCAACTCAGCCTCAGTCTCCTCCTCTATAAAATGGGTATAATAATAGCATCTACCTCCTAGGGTTGTTGTGACAATAAAATAATATTTATAAAGCATTTTGTAAACCTTAAAGCACTATATAAATGGTAGTTATTATTATCATCATCATACATACATTAATTAAATATTTGTTGACTGACTCAGGGAACAGAAAACTATTTTCTAAATAGTGCCAGTGAACTGTAAAGCACTATAAAAATATAAGCCATTATTTTATGTAGCAGGGTAATTCTTCCAGTGATGCTATATAGTTACAAGTCATTAAACAACATGATCTCAGAAAAATCAAAATGACAGGTAACTCAAAAGGCAATGGAAAAATGCATGGTAGGTGTATGTAGGTGTATACTGCCAGTGGTGATGGTACTTTCAAGAGGGAAAGATATAATTAAGGACGTGTGTAACTGGAAAAGAAGGTGGATCAAGCGCACAGTAAGAATGAAACACAACATATACATAGCCCAAGGGCTACACTGGTAACTTAGAGATCTTAAAAGTCTCCGATGAAGGCCTCTGGCATGCTTGGTGGTGGATATCCTATGAAGGATAAATATGAAGATACAGGTGAGAACAACATAGGATGAGAAGACATGGAAGGGTTGTGAATCACCCTGATGGAAAGTGTATCCCCAATGAGACTACTGATACATGAAAGTATCAAGGTATCCACAATAATTAAAAAAAAAAAAAAAAAAAAAGGAAACACTGACAGAAAATACATGTTTTCTTAAAAATAAAAACCCACCAAAACTTTTTCCTAAAGCTTAATAAATGAGAAACAGGCTGGGATAGTAGATAGACGATCAGCTGCAGCTCTCTCTCTCTCTCTCTCTCTCTCACACTCACACACACACACACACACACCCCTCTTGCACCCCACCCCCACTCCCATGTTCTGGGCAAATTGCTTAAGTCTTTCAGTGCCTCAGACAACTCTCTAGGACTACATATATATAGATCTCCCTGCACTGAACATTCATAAAACAAATTCAGAATATGCTATAATAAAAAAAAACCCTCACGTTTCATAAAGCCCCTAGAGATTAAATGTTAAAAAGTATTTAAAAAAACCCACTTAATCTACAATAAGACAGGCATTTATTGACAGGCATAGCAAGTAGTATTATTTGCACTCTACAGATGACAAAATTGAGGCTTGGAGAGGTTATGATTTGCTTACAGTCCAAAGCTAACAAATTTAAGACCTGGAATTTAAACTTTAGGTGTCCAGGCCTTGTAGTCTTTCCACCATACCCTTAATTCACATTCCATTAGTACTGTTTTAACAGTCACACTGCAATACACTATTATATGCCACCTGTGGGAAAGACACAACTGGCAGCAAAATATGTTGGTTAATACAGTTAAGATATATAACACAGATGATAAGTTTTACAAAGAACTAAGAGGATAAAATGCATTAAAACAACACTAAATATATCTAAATCTAATGACTCAGAAGGCACTTTAGAATGCTGCAATACCTCAGGGTCACCATTAGGAACTTCAATGATCATTTGGTTGACATAGCTTAAAAGCCTCATTTTACAGAGATTTCCTGTTAATATGATATTGGATGCAGAGACCTGCCTAGAGATTCTGTATAGCCTTGGGCTAAACTAAACTTGATGAAATCTAATTCCTTCTGTTTCTTATACTTTGGTTTACAAGACTATCTATATTCCAACTCCAAAGACTGGCACAGTGTTTATCAATACTAAGTGCCATTTCTGAGAAAATCACCTAAATTCAGCTATGCAAATTAAAAGAGGTTATAGACGTTATTTAACCCTGTGTCTCTTCTGCCCTTCCAAGTACTTGCTTCAATAGAATTGAGTTCCTGACAGAACTCTCCAAGTAAGTAATAAAGAAAGGCCGACATAAGGCACCATGTCAGATTCTGTGTGTGGGGAGAGAGTAAGGGGGAATACAAAGTTTGGCAGGTGAGTTAAGACATGGACACAAATAGCTGTAACGCAAGAAGGAATGAAAGTGCCTGAGGAGAGGTAGAAAATAATGAAAGGAGGGGCAGTGAGGTGACACAGTGGATAGAGTGCCAGCCCTGGAGTAAGGAGGATCTGAGATCAAATTTGGCCTCAGACACTTGACATACACTAGCTGTGTGACCCCGGGCAAGTTACTTAACCCCAATTGCCTCAAAAGAAAAAAAAAAAGGAAAGAAAGAAAGAAAAAGAAAATGACATAAGGAAAGGAAGAGGTGATTTCTCGTTAGGGGAACTTGGAAAATTTTATTGAGCGGTGGGGCAACTTAACTCAGCCTAAAAGAGAGAATTTCAACAAAGACTGGGTAAAGAAAAGGAACTAAAGGTTGAGAGAACAAAAAGAGCAAAAGCATGGAAGGGGTTTCGTGAAAGGTATTCAAAGAATGATAAATTATCTGACTGTTGAGGAGAGTAACCAGACAAGATTGGAGTGATAGGGTGATGCCATTTGGCAAGAGAATTTGTATGCGATGCTAAGAAATTCAGCCTTTATTCAACAGGTAATGGGGAACCACTGAAGGTGTCTGAGCAGTGACAGGATCAGAACCAGGCTTTAAGAAGATTGTTCTGGTATCAGTGTACAAGAAGAGCTAGGAGGATATAATAATAGTCTAGACTAGCAGAATTATGTGGGATCACAGGACTATAGAAATAGGGCTGTGAGGGTCCTCACAGGCTACCTAGGCCTATATCCTCAGTTTAGTAGTAATAGCAGCAGACATTTATATAGTGCTTACTATGTTTCAGGCACAGTGCTAGGCACAAGACAATCTGAACTCATTTGAACTTCACAACAAGCTTGGGAGGTACATGCTTTGTTTATCCCCATTTTACAGATGAGGAAACAGATTAAGTGACTTGCCCAAGGTCACAAGGCTAGAGAGTATCTGAGGTCACATTTGAACTCAGGT